AAATAATGTGACAGCAAAAAACCACAGCAAGTACAGTAGGCCTCCTTGATCCCAACGGCGGCGGCACAACAAGGAACGATGTAGTCTAAGGAAAGATTTGATATACTCAGTTTTAAGAAAGGTTCTATGGACCCTATGAATTTCTTAAATTGGTTTTACTCTTCGTTTTCTCTCTATGGCCATAAATATGTAAATGTGACGGGTAGCAAAAGAGAACACACGTCTTAATGGACGGCATAATACGTGATTTTACTAGATCAACCTATGCTTAAATGCTGATGACACTCACTGCAGCGGAAACCCAAAAATCTTGTCTTGTTTTTGTTTGATGGTTTTGTTTTTGTTATTAACCCAGCATTCTTGTGAAACATGAATTTTGTGTTTCCATTGCCATTACACGTAGTTTTGCACGGAAATCGGGGGTTGTTCCCTCGAATAATCGCTGCCCGTTGAATACTTGAACTATTTTGACGCATGGATAAGTTGACTTTTTAGAAGCCCAAAATCCGCGGGTGAAGGACTCGCAATATCCCGCTCGTACTGTCCGACTAAAAACGCGAAACCACGCATCGTCGCGAATACACTGCGACGCATAATTATACTTCCACCTACAAATTTCCCAAAACTTGAATCTGGGGATGTTTTTGGAAAAGGTTCTAGTGAGGAATTGTGACACATATAAACGCTGTTCTGAATATCAACACAGAATTCCAGTTCGAGGCAACAATTTTTTATTTTCATTTTTTTTTGAAAATACTCGCTCTGCCTATGGCGCAAAATTATAGTTCCACCACATGTTTCTCCGCTGCACTTTATTTTTACCCAATCAAATTTTTAGATTATTATCCCTTTAGATTGCGTAGGTCATTGCAAAAGCGAAACCGCTGCCAGAATTTCGTAACGGGGGAATCCTAGCAAAAGAGGCTCATTAATTGCCGAAGTGTCAGTCCACGAAGAAGAAAGCGTAGAGAAGAAAGCCATTTTCCCTTGAAAAGTTTCGCAGAGTCAAGTCAATTGGTGGCACTTTTTTGAGTGTCTTTGATGTATTTGACCATACTTCTGTTTTCTTCTCCACACGTTCGCTACAAAGAAAAAATCGATATCAGAAGGAAAACCTTAGGAGAAAGAAAGACACGCAAATCAAAAATCACAAATGAATGAGTGTCATCACTTCACTCGACTTGGTGAAATTTTCTGAGGAAAATGGCCCGTTTTTCTATATGATTTCTTCTCACAAAAGTGTATTTGTTACCAGACATGGACTATCATGAGGATTTTTTGGGAAACACATTCAACTATGTCCATTGAGACGTTAGCTTTTGAAGAAGTTTTGATTTCCGTACCTGGCTTTTTCGCTTTTGCAGTGACCTATGCAATCTGAAGGGATAATAATTTCAAAATTTGATTGGGTAAAAGCAAAAGTGCAGCGGAGAAACATGTGGTGGAACTATGATTTTGCGCCATAGGCAGAGCGAGTATTTTCAAAAAAAAAAATAAAAAATTGTTGCTTCCTCGAACTGGAATTCTGTGTTGATATTCAGAACAGCGTTTATATGTGTCACAATTCCTCACTAGAACCTTTTTCGAAAACATCTTCAGATACAAGTTTTTGGGAAATTTGTAGGTGGAAGTTTCATTATGCGTCGCAATGTATGTTAAAATGGCAGAGAGGGGCATGTGCTACGACAACATTCTGCCTGTTGCAATTTGTTTTTCCGCAAAGGATTTCATCCCCGGGGTGCCTGAGCATTTCGCTTTCATTTTATACCCTTCCCGAATTTCTCCTTCCGCAAGAAGTGAATCAGTGTAGGCGGCATAAACTCTCGCACTGCAGGCCTCCCCTCGTTAAAGTTTACATCGTTATCTTCATCACTCTCACTGGTTTAAGGCCTTTACAGTCTTTGAATATTATATATTTGAATATACTTTTGGAGGCTCAACTATGTTTCAAATAAAGTATCGTTGGTGTTTTGTGCTTCTCATTTTCGTTCGTTCTAGATAACTCGGGAATTGGCAAAATTCCTCCTGGATGGACCTTGAAGGATGAGCTGCCTATGTTGCCTGGCCATAAACCTCTCAGTGGAATCATTCCCATCACTAT